TCCGAGGACAGTGGGGAAGACGCGCTGCGCTTTTCCCCGCTGTCCCGGAGATTTCCCTATGGGCTTTCGTCTTGCGAAGGAAGCCCATAGGGAAATTCGTTTTGCGAAGCGCCTCCAAAACGGAAAACCCTTTCGTCTAGCGGGTTTTCCGTCTTGCGAGGTGTTCGTCTTGTGGGGCACCACTGTACTGGTGCATATGGTCATTCAAGGTGTGGAGAAAGTGGGTAGAGATTAGTTTTTCTCCCTCTCTCTTAACACTAGAACTTGGGGCCATCTGTTAAAGCTGAATATTGGAAGATTCAGGATAGAGAAAAGGAAGGAGAGTGAGCTACCGCAAGGTATAGTGATGGTTGCCAACTTGGGTGGGCTGTATGAGGGAATCAGACAAGTCAGAGAGGAGAAGGTTATGGATGGCTGGTAGCAATGATGGCTATGTACTACCCCCAATATCAGAGGAGCTATGCCTCTGAACACTAGTGGATGGGAAATACAAGTGGGAAGGGTGCTACTGCACTCGCGTCCTGTTTGTGGACGTCCCATAGGCATCTGCTTTGCACCACGAGACTAGAATGACCTTTGGTCTGATCCAGCAGTTCTTACGTGTTTGATGTTGTATTACTATTTTTTGTTGGGAGCTGCCCAGAGTGGCTGGAGCAACCCAGTCAGATGGGCAGAATATTATTATTACTATTATTATTATTAACAACAACAACAACAAAAATATATTCAGTTTTATCAAGCAAACAATTTTGTTTGAAACCATGTCTCTCCACTTTCTACCCTGACTGGCACAAGCAGCTGGGCAGTAGCTTTGCCACTCTGTCCAGCCCCACCACTGCCAGATGGGAGTTAGGATTACTCCCTAAATGTATTTTTAAAAATATATGTGCTAGATTTATTTTTATTTCTTTAAAAAAACCAACTGCCTTGGTTTATTAGTTTTTGTTTAAAAATGCACACACAACAGTGTTAACTGCTTGGACTAGAAAAAGTTGGCAAGCATTTTCAGATCCTGGCGGCTGCAATCCAACCCACGTATGGGTGCATTTGAACACACATGGGTGAAAAGACACATAAAGCATCATTAAAATGTATGGGTACCTTCCCATTAAAGGGACGTGGGTGGCGCTGTGGGTTAAACCACTGAGCCTAGGGCTTGCCGATCGGAAGGTCGGCGGTTCGAATTCCCATGACGGGGTGAGCTCCCATTGCTCAGTCCCTTCTCCTGCCAACCTAGCAGTTTGAAAGCACACAGTGCAAGTAAATAAATAGGTAACGCTCAGGTGGGAAGGTAAACGGCGTTTCTGTGCGCTGCTCTGGTTCTCCAGAAGCGGCTTAGTCATGCTGGTCACATGACCCGGAAGCTGTACGCTGCCTCCCTCGGCTAATAAAGCGAGATGAGTGCTGCAACCCCAGAGTCGTCCGCGACTGGACCTAACAGTCAGGGGTCCCTTTACCTTTTACCTTCCCATTAACATTACTGAAATGTGGATTATACCCTAAATGCTTCTCTTAACTACATTCTTCTGTGAAAACACAGAATTTGTTTGTTGTTTTGCTCAGCACAGATGGTAGCTTGAAATGCAAAATATTCCTAACTTCATTCTGTTTTTAAAGTTCTAATTTTTAGATCTTCTAAACAGTGTGTTGTTTTTCCCTCCACCCCGTCTTGCTGCTAGTCCTGGAAAAGTCTTTAAGAATTCAAAGGAAAAAGAGCCAGCCTTATTACTTTTGTCACTTTAAGGCTCCAGCACTGCTTCAGAGAACAAACTTTCAGATCAAGCTTTGAACAGAGTACAAAGGAAAGGAAGTAATTATCATTAACAAGATTAAAAGCGGACCACGTGTCCAATAACTGCTGCTCTAACCTCTCCAAGAGGACTTTCATGCCAGATTGCAGTCTTATACTTCTCTTGGTATAACAAGGACGGGTAAGGCCAGAAAAGAACAAGTCAATATTGCTTACATAGCAAAGAGAAGTGTCAGAAGACAGACATCAGCAGTGCCAGGATTTTGCCAAAAGCAATTAGTAGAGTCCACCACCCACAATAACTAGCTGGATTGCCAACACACCCAAGAAGACTCAAGATAAGAAAGATGGGTAAGAGGTTATATTTTATTAAATATAGCTATTATAGAATCTGACGATTAGAATAAGTCAACAAAATTAACCGATGCCAATGAGATCTGGGCAGAATAGACGGGAGGATTTCAAGTCTCCCATCTCCTGAGCCAGCTGCCAGCCGCACACATTGGGATCACATAGCAAGGCCCTCACTGCCTGCTTCTTGGGTATAGGAACCTGACACGCGTGCCGTGGTCCCATTGGCCAGTGTTCACCCTGATGTGTCCGACAACCCCAAACACTCTGGTGCAGATATTTTCCAAAATCCACTCACCCACCCCGGAACAAATGCCAATTAGCCAAATTCTAACAAAGCGCCACTCCAGTTATGTGGACAACACCTAACAGTGTGATGTAGGTGAAAAAGCTGTGATATGGGCCAATTAGTGTCAACCCCCCCCCAATTCCTACTCAGTTCCCTCAATGAAGGCAACTAGCAGAGCTCCCAGTGCAAAAGGGGTGAGACAGTGGGTGTCTCAGGAAGAGGGGTGGAGATGGCTTAAATAGCCCCACGTTACCCCTGCAGGGGAGTCCATCTCTCTTCTTCTTGCAGGGGAAGGGAATGTTGCACATGCATCCCAGTCCCACCCCCATATGGGGAAAGAATGAAATTATGCTCCAAACAAGACAAAATCCATGAATTATGGCACATCCTCATGTTAAGAGATACAATCAGCAGGGTGTGGAAGAGAAACCAGACAGTCTATAAAAGTTTCCTCTCAAGGTTATTAAAAACTCTCTACATAAAGTATAACTCTGATAACTTTGTCTTTCTCCCCCTCCTTTGATATCTCTGCTTAGGATAGATAAAATATTGAGAGACGTTCTGCCGCAAACATAAATAAAATGGCACTAGAACTGTGGAAATGCCCCCTTCTTTTTATGTTTCAGAGACCAAAGGGAGGCATAAAATAACACTGTCGTGTTTTGAAAACATTGCTGTCTCCACCAGAACAATTTAACTAAACAACAGACAAATATATGTGATCTGCATAGACTGCAAGGAACCTGCAACTTGTGGATTACTGTAATCCTGAAGCTGCAAAATACACATTTGTCTAAAGGAACTTGAAATATACACCACCACCACCAAACACTCAGGAAAAGGTACTGAAAATAACCATCCACTCCTTTACAACTAATTTTATGCTATGAGTGAGAATCAACTGATGGAATGTTAAACAAGAACAGATCACACCAACGTATTTGCACCAGCAGCTCAGGATTTAAAGCAGCGAGGGAAAAGGTTTAGAAGACATGAAGCTTGCTAGTTTACTGCTCTTCCACATACTCTCCCCAAGGGTGCATTTTATGAGAGTCATTTACCCACTTTTAACAGGCTTAAAACTCAGCATATACAAATGTCATCAATTTAAAAGCAAGAGAGACGACTGTAGCTTCAGGTTTACAAAGGGACATAAGAAGAGCCTGCTGGATCAGGCCAATGGCCCATCCTGTTCCCACAGAAGCCGAACACAGTTGCCTGTGGGAAACCAGCAAGCAAGATTCGAGCACAAGAGCACTTTCCCCTCCAGTGGTTTCTAGCAACTGGTATTCAGAAGCATGGCTGCCTCCAACTGTGAAGGCAGAACACAGCCTTTACGGCTAGTAGCCATTGCCAGCTCTCTCCTCCATGAATGCAGTGCAAAATGTTTTAGTGGGAAATATACATTTAAATGGTTTAAAAACCTCAGCTATGCCTTTACATATTGATTTAAAACAGTGTTCCCCAACCTTGGGCCTCCAGCTGTTTTTGGACTACAGTTCCCATCATCCTTGACCACTGGTCTTGCTAGCGAGGGATGATGGGAGTTGTAGTCCAAAAACAGCTGGAGGCCAAGGTTGGGGAACACTGATTTTAAAAATGCACAAACTAATCTCATTTCGCAAATGCCAGCAAAGAACATTGGCAAATGGACTTAATGTAGGAAAGATAATCTTTCCATGTAAGCTAGGCATGATTTTCCATTTTGACTCATCACCAAAAGGGCTTATTTCAATATGAGAGCTCTCTGGTAACACGACAAGCCCAAAGTCATAGAATCATAGAGTTGGAAGGGACCCTGCAGAGTCATAGAATCATAGAGTTGGAAGGGACCCTGCAAAGTCATAGAATCATAGAGTTGGAAGTGAAACCCCCTGCAATGCAGGAATATGCAGCTGTCCCACACAGAGACACAGGATCGAACCTGCAAACCTGGCATCATCAGCACCACAATCTAATCAACTGAGCTATCCAGGCTTCCCAAGTCATATGGGAAGAGACCATGGCTACACTGCCCTTTCTGGGAACTGGAGAACTTCTGATAGGAGAATGATCAACTGTCAGCTCTTACACTGCGACCTCAGACTTCTGTTGTTGCAGATAAGCAAGGGAAGCAGCAACACTGCAGTACCCCCTGTTGCCACAATAAAGGTGATGTTGGAAGGCAAGCTAATTTTTAGGGCAGCTGCACAATTCTTGAGGGGAAAGTAATGCAGTGAAAACAGAGAATGCTAGTGCCCTTTTTTTGGGTGCAAACAGTTTAAAAGTGTATTTAACCATTTAATCCATATGTATTTTTTAGGTCTTCATATTCCAAAGTCCTCTGCTGCCATATCTAATAATGCAACAAATAACGATACTGAAATGTGGTGTTGCCTCTCCAGTCCTCTGTGAATTTGATCCGGTTTTGAAGGGCATAAGCTAATAACACTGAAAAATCCCATGAATAATGAAAAGCACTTGACCAGTTCTCCCTGAAGCTAACAGCAGGTTTTCCACAGGTACCATGAATGAGATCAAACATTGACAAGATTTTCAAAAGAACAAATATATATATATATATATATATATATATATATAGTGATAAAATATTTGTTAAATATTGTTTACCTAAAACTTTAAGTCTCTCTGCTCCAACCACCACTTCATTGTCATCTGCAGAAAACAACAATTTCCCCGAGGTGGTTAGCACTTGAAATTTTTGGCTGTATGCTTCCACTGCTTTGGGCCCTAAAGAGAAGAAAGAAAGCTTAGTGATCTCTTTGATCTGATATTATGCTGAAAATGATACATTAACATATCCTGGATTATGAATCTGACAATTAAATAGAAAAGCATGAAGGTGGTTATGCTAATGGTTGTGCATGTATCATGTTGCCAGAGAGACTAATAAGTGTTTCTTCTCTCTTCAGCATTTACTTTAAAATATATATAAAACATTTAAGCAAATGTAAGACCTTCTCATTTAAAAAAAAGCATTATTTTCTTGCGACTTAATGAATTCTGATTTATAGGAACTAACTCATATTGAACTGGCCATTCTGATAAAGAAAGATATTCTAGACTAAAGGTTCAAAATTTTCCACCATCAGAACAAATTATGCCATTGAATTGTATTACATAAACGAAGCACAGCATATTTACATATATATTAGAATTTATGACATTTTTCTTGCTTCCTTTTTTGGTAATGTATTGGATAGGAAGGATGGGAAAGAGTTTTCCACTGAAAGGGTTAGCTGAACAAGGATGGCATGATGTGGTAAGAAATTTGTAGCTATGGTACAGAGTATGATTCCTATTAATAATATCTGGTTGGAATATCTGGTAGGATGGAAAACAGCAGGTGGAGCCAGGGGTAGAGTTAAGAAGAGTTAACTTTCTCCCATTTTTTCTACTACATTACTCCCACTTCTGCAGTCTGACATGCAGAAATTAAGCAGGTCAAGCTATTCATGGCATGGAAAGAATGTCCAGTCTGAGCTTCTCCATGTGCACCTAAGAGGCAAATCCTGCTGCAATCCACAGGTTTTACCCCTGATAGCATAGGAATGCGGCATTCAACAGCTTAATTTTTGTATTATCAGGCTGCTGCTAAACTCACAGGAGCAGTTTCTAGTCTCAAGGGACAAGATACTTAAATAAAATGGTACTAGATTTAGTAAATTGATTAATGATTATGTGTGTGATGGACACAAAGAGAATGTGGGCTCTGGCTTGTAGGCTGGGCAGTACAAGGAGAAATTTCCTCTGAAAGACCATCTGAGCTGGGAGTGGGAGGTGGGGGGTGGGGACGACTAATAAATATGTAAGTTGGAGGCGGGACAGGAGAGAGAATGTTTTGGAATCTTCTACATAAGATTCTGGGCAGAGAATTATGAAGTTCGATCACAGAAGTGCTGCTGCCATGGCCTGCATATAATGAAGAAAGAAGGAAAGGATTTTGTGGCCTGTTAGGAGCTCTGCAACAGAAATCTTATTAGCCTTCCATACAAACACTTATTTTCCATACATACATTTAAACAGGAACCCAATCTCTAAACAGTTCTAATATATCCTTCCATGAATCATTTCTATGAGTTAATATAACCATACTATACTCCTCCACCTCCTCCTAACATTTTCTAACATTGTCTGAAGTTGACCATTCTCACACCATACATACATGAACATTTCATTGCTATCGATAAAAATATATAATATAATATAATATAATATAATATAATATAATATAATATAATATAATATATATTACACACACACACACTGGTGTATAGCAGACTCTCATAAGCAGAAAAAGACAGGATGAAGAGGGTACTGTATTTTTTGCTCTATAAGACTCACTTTTCCCCTCCTAAAAAGTAAGGGGAAATGTGTGTGCGTCTTACGGAGTGAATGCAGGCTGCGCAGCTATCCCAGAAGCCAGAACAGCAAAAGGGATTGCTGCTTTCACTGTATAGTGATCCCTCTTGCTGTTCTGGCTTCTGAGATTCAGAATATTTTTTTTCTTGTTTTCCTCCTCCAAAAACTAGGTGCGTCTTGTGGTCTGGTGCGTCTTATAGAGCGAAAAATACGGTACTTTCTGCCAAAGACGCCTGTCCAGTTCAAAGAGTAATTTAGTAAATCAATACAGCTTGTTCAAGCAAAACAGATAGATGCTAAAGCCAAACTACAAAAAATCTACAAACCAATATAAGGGAGAGAAACATTATTTCCTGACCTGGAATATATAAATCAATTATTAGACAATGAGCCCAAACCCAATGTTTGCTCTTGAGTTCAGGACTTGTGGTTTGTCTGGAGAACTTGGGTTCAGATGACATGCTAGGTCAAACCACGCTCTCAGCAACAGGAGGCCCAGGGAAGAAGTTCAGAGGCTGCAATCTCTGACCGGCAGAATCCGAGATTTGGGAGAAGAGACAATGGAAGAGGACTGGAAAAAATTTAAGGACTATTTGCAGAAACATTATAAACTGTATGAATGTTAAAAATGTGCAGGATTTGGAAATTATAGCTTCAGCAAACTGATTTACTGAATTAGAAATTAAGTTATAAGTAAGATAAGGTGGAAATTTGAAATAACTTTATTATGCTTATTTTAAGGTATAAGTAATGGAGAATTAACATTTTGAACTTAGAAACATAATATTTGAAAGATACAGTAAGGTACGAAATAAGGTAACAAATTGCTGACGTTTTTACTGCAAAGAACGCTGGGTTCGGAGGATGTGGGGAAGTCCAGCTGGTTTTATAAGAACTATTTGAAAAATTGAACTTTATTATTTTTTCTTTTTGCTTTTTATTTTCTTCTTCTATGTTTATAAATGTTTTTAATGTGGAATATATATGTGAAAACCCAATAAAAAATTTATTAAAAAAAAAAAACAGAGGCTGCAATCTCTGCAGCTTAACGTTACATGTGAACAAGTTAACTGACTGGAGAGTTCTAGATCATGTGATGTTCTGGCAATGTTGCTAAAATAGTATGCATATATACCAGGCTTCCTCCACCTTGGCCCTCCAGATGTTTTTGGCCTACAATTCCCATGATCCCTAGCTAGCAGGACCAGTGGTCAGGGATGATGGGAATTATAGTCTCAAAACATCTGGAGGGCCGAGGTTGAGAAAGCCTGATATATACACACATACACCCACAAAGATTGGACAGCATTTTGTTAAAACCTTCAAGACCAGCAGTAAAAATGCTATTAATAGACATGAAGTATAAAACCAGCTAGGGGTGTTTCAATTGTTAGGACACTGTGTAGTCACTGTGATGCAAAATCTGTTCTAATACTCTCCATTTGAAAGGCATGATGCTTGAAATGACCCTGTGAAGATGAATGTGTGTGAAAGGATCAGTGGAAGGAATGATGCAACCCCATTTTTCTTGATATGTACCTCTTAGTTTTCCAAATTTTCTTTGGGATATTCCGTCAGTGGCTTCTCCACTTCAAATTTTAACAAATGTTAGCAACCCTCATGGCAATATTTGTGCAAATGTGCAGCTAAGCAGCACAAACAGATGTCTCTTCCATGGCTTGGCCAGAAGCATCATCTTTGAAAACAACCACTTCAAAACAATCCACACAGATGCACATCGCACTGAGAGAACAATTTCTGTAATTATCTGCAATAGCAGCAAAGTTGCACTGGGTCACTTGCAAAGTGCTAAAGAGCACAATCTGGGTGCAAAGCTCTCATAATCTAAAGCAAAGGTTAAGGGCAGGAAACAATTAAGCAATTCACAAGATATGTGGCACAGTATTATTATCAGCATTTATTTCTTAAAGCAAATGTCATGGGATTATGGCCTGTTTCTGACCAGCATCATTTCTCACAGGCAGCAAGCGATGACAACGAAAGGCCATTTTGGTTTTGGTTAAATGTAGCCTTTTCATTTGCATATTAAAAGGATTGCCCATACAGTAGATGATATGCAGAGCATCCCCAGGGTTCAATAACCATTCCCATCACCCCCAATATCTAGCTGCTGGTCCCATATAAGGAGCTGCTCATAAGCCAATGGCACACACCCCAAATTCTAAATTGTCCCTTTCTACATAGTGTTTTAATTGGGTACCCTTTGAGATAGGCTAGCAGCCAATGTACACATTGTTCTAGAGATGTTGTCAGTCTGCCACACACTGGCCTCCAAAAGAAACTGGGTTCTTTCTAATACTGAGCATTTTTCATTTGTCCAGTTTCCTGAAAGAACTCAATCAGAGAAATTGAGTGCTGTTAAAAATGGTAAGGTAAAGGTAAAGGACCCCTGGACAGTTAAGTCCAGTCAAAGGCGACTGTTGGGTGCGGCACTCATCTCGCTTTCAGGCTGAGGGAGCTGGCGTTTATCCACAGACAGCTTTACAGGCCAGCATGACTAAACTGCTTCTGGTGCAACGGAACACCGTGATGGAAGCCAGAGTGCATGGAAATGCTGTTTACCTTCCCACCGCAGCGATACCTGTTTATCTACTTGCACTGGCATGCTTTTGAACTGCTAGGTTGGCAGGAGCTGGGAAAGAGCAACAGGAGCTCACCCCTTCGCAGGATTCAAACCGCCAACCTTCTGATCGGCAAGCCCAAGAGACTCAGTGGTTTAGACCACAGTGCCACCCTGACCTAGTGTTTCTCTTTATGTCACCTAAAATGGGAACTGTTACATTCTTATTTATTTATTAACTTACTATAAAACAGGCCCAGTTGTTTACTGATGAACAGGCTAACACACAACAAAATAGGGAAACAAAAGGAAACACAAGATTAAGCTCCAACCCAGGCAGAAGGACTGGCTGACATATACAACAGCCAGGCCAGACACACCTGCTCAAGATTCTAGAATAATGTGCATGGAAATCATTCCATGCGCATAATATCCAACCCTCTTCCAAATATCACTCTCCTGGCTTTCAAGCCTGGGAAAATTTAGTTTCCGTTTTAAAGAACTCAAATATATTTTGCTTCCACCTATATTCTATATTCATAGGTTTATCTATGAAATTGAAACATCTATAGTAGAATTTTGTTCTCTTATGCATCGCAAAGCTACTAGGCCTTTCAGATTTTTCAAACATTTATTTACAACCCCCCCCCCAAATATCTCCTGCACTGCATCTTCACCTCCAACCCCCTGATCTGGACATTTTACCACTATGATTCTGAGAGTGGAACAAGAAGTAAAAGATTCACTGTTTTACTAAAAAATAAATAAAAATAACCACAGTTCTAGTTTCCCATCCTCTGCTAGTAACACACTGCTATGGAAATGTATGACATGAAGAAAGAGAGAGGAAGAAATGTGTGGTTATTTATAACTGCATAAGTTTTCAGTAAATGCAAGTGGCTAAAATACTTGCATTATCTCCGCTCTCTCTATATCTCAGACTTATTTACTTTTATAACAAGAAATGTGATTTGCATCTCCCAAATAATCATGTTACACCTGCCATTCTTGTTTCAGTATGACAGGGCAACAAAGTCTTAGACTAATTAGATTCAAAGGCAAGAGTTGCATCTCTTGGGACCATTTCCCCAGTCCAGTAGTTTCAAGCCTGGCAAGCGGCACAATTATTCCACATAACACACAAACTGCACTATCTTTGCAATTGCACTGCAGCTCAATTCTATTATCCTGCAACAGAGTCACTCGAGTGCTCTGCATTTTCTGCCTGTACATGGCAAATGATCAACCAGCCCAACAAGCTCCCCTCCCGCTTCCCCTTTTTCTTCTTGAACGTGATAATCTGGGATTGAATTCTGGGGTGAATTTATTTCCTCTCCTCAAGGCAATTTTCACACATGCAACTAAAAATAATTGCCGGCTGAAACTGTTTATTTAATTATTTAGCACTCTCACTTGAGGCCAGGTGTTATATAAGCAAAGCAGGCAATCTAATTTCACACACAACAAAATGTTTATGGATTGCCGATGCCGTCTCATGGAACAGCTTTTCTCCCTTGCCAGGCTCCTTTCTTTCTGAGCAATCCCTCTTGCTGCAAAGGCACACATGCACTCAAAAGCAACATGTCTGCTGGGGTTTTTTTTAAAGTTTTTTTTAGAAGCATCAGTTTCCCTGTTAAACATGAAGCATACCATTTCATGAACATAAATGGTACTTATCAGCACAAGCGATTTACTTTTAAAAAGGGGTTTTCGGAAACCTTTAAAAGACAAGAGTGTACCCCTGCTGTGAATATTAATCAGTTAAGTGTCAGTCGTCCTGGGTAAGTTTAAATTGTCCAGGGACATTCCTGTGCCTGTTACAAATCAAAGATCAAAATGACTATTCTCTTCCTGAACTTGTACTTGTACAAGTGACCTTTTGTGTCAGACTCTGCTTTAAAATGAAAATAATTTTCGGCTGCCTTATTAGAAATATACAGCCATCTTCTTCTTCACCTCAGTTCTAACATTCTTATATTTTTTATATTTCTAGACAGGCAGGCTGGGTCATGGCTTGTACTGTACTAGATAAGTTAGTGATTATTATCCCATGGGCTAATGATCACAAAATACCCCATCACAGTGCCCTTTTTGTCTTCTTCTTCCTTTCCTCAGGCACCTTACCTGTTACAAGACGTGTAAGAACTTTACTCTCCTCATTGAGAATGTTCACTGTAACATTCCGAGCAGATTGGAAGTACAGAGGGTTGCCCTACAATAAGAGCACAAGAGAAAATGAATGAGACGGGCACATCGCTTCTCACTAGAAAACGTACTGTGCTCTTACGAAACCTGCAGGACATGAGTGCCCAAATCCATGTACCTATATTTGGTCAAATACTTTCATGGCTCCTCTAAACAAAATGCTTGCTTAAAGGATTACATAGGGTCATATAATTTTATCATAGGACAAAATGTCACATGGTCCCTGTAGTTAATCGTTCGTTTTTAAAGGTCTGGCCCAGGGCAAAATAAACAGTGATCTGCCTCACACAGGGTTTAGTAGTGCCTAGAACCCTAAGCGAATTAGGCCCCAAATATCTGAAAGACCACCTCCTTGCCTACAGGCCCTCTTGGGGCTTAGGAATGAAAGAGGGGGGGCTATTTGTAGTTCCACTGCTCTCAGAAGTTTTTTTGGGGAACTGACAGTCTCAGAAAGGGCATTTTCTGTAGCAGCCCCTGAACTGCCAACTCTCAACAGGACATAAGGCACCACCATATTACGGGGTTCTTAGAAATATCAGGTACATCACTGCACAATATATAACGTCAATGACTGTGAAGAAAAGCTTTGACACAGGGCTCCACTAACTTTAAATAAAATATGTAAGGGTGGTGTTTCATAGTCTTTGTTCACTTCCTTGAAAATGGATTCCAGAGTCAAACATGCATTTGAACATTCATACCAACTCTCATTCCAATAACTCAAACTTTCAAGTCATATATTGTGTTGTATTTTGTATTTGCCTTCCCTTTCCACCTTCTTATTGAGGGTAGAGCTGCTATTCAAACTCAAAACACAGAATTATGGCTTAAACGTGTATATGAAATTTCATACAAACAACCTGGCTCCTGCCCAAAATAATTCAAATTGGAGAATTAAGTCAAAGGACAAAACCATTATAAAAAACGTGAACTCTTGATTATTCAAAGATATTTGGGTTCATCAAACCAACTTCATCTCATGTTTCTGACATGTGGTTACCGCAGAGCAATCCTTTTTTGATTAAGCTGGGCTTTATGACATGGCAGAGAGAGAAATGTCCTGATCTAGCAGCATACAACATATTTTCTGGATCAGATTTATGGGTGCAGATTGAGTGCTGCATCCAGTGGCTGGTGCTTCTGCACTACCCATGTATACCAAACTGATGGTCAGTGCTGTCATATATGAATATACAAAGCTGCCTTAGTCTTAAGACAAAATTATGGGTATATTCAACCCAATACTATCTATTCTGACTGGCAACTCCAAGTTTTCAAGCAGAGATCCAGTTCTGCTACCTTGCATCCTTAAGTATTTTAACCTGCATCCTCTTTATGCAATACATGTGTTCTACCATTGAGCTATGGCCCCCTCCTGCTCTTTGTTTCGGAACAGAGGAATAACATTGAATCCAGGATCCTTTCAGCAAGCGATTAGCACTATAAAGGCTCACAAGGCAGACCATTTAGTAGGAATACCCTCACCTAATGAGGTGGGGCTGTGCACATTGCTGTGTGCAAATACATCAAGATCTGACTTTGCCAACCTTGTTGTGGCACCATGTCTGCAAAAAGCCCGAGCTAAACTTTGCTTTTTGAAACAGTTGAAAGAAGCAAATTCAGAATCTAAAGCCCATATTTAATCTTTTATTGACACTACCTGAACCGATGACATGACACTGGCTTAATTTATTTTGAGCTACAAATTGAGCAGAAAATAATGGTGTGCAGTTCACAAGGTTGAAGCATTTGCAGTTGATAGTTAGCCTTTGATACAAAGGTACAGATGCAGTCTGAATAAATAACTGGGCTCTCAATGTCACAGGACCTCAAAATAAGCCTTAGGCTATTACACATCATATACTAGTGGAACCAGCAGACTGTGCCCTAATAAAGAGGTGTGCATATGACTCAAAACTATTTTGATACAACCCACCTCCCAAGAATGACATTTTCTCCATACAGATAAGGAACTGGAATTTGCTCTTCCAAATAAACCCTGGCCAACCCTAACTCATACACCTGTGTCCGAGAATGCTTTGCATCAGGTGCACTTCATAATTCACAGTCTGCCCTGCTTAGTTCGGGTTGTATAACCTAGTTCCCTTCTTGTAGATAGATGCATATTGAGTGTAAAGCAGCAACATTTCTGGGATGGTTTGCATGGGAACTTTGTTAGTGTGATGCCATGACACCTCATATGACACAGTCAGCATCTGCAGTGGATCAAGGCTTTGGGGATGCAGACCATTATTTATAGGTGCAGTTCTAGTACGAAGCAAAGACATTCCTGGGTGTGGCCAACTTAAAAACACTGTGCAACCAAATTTAGTTTGAGGCTTTATGTGTGCTCCTATGACTCTTCAAAGGCATTTTAGAGTTTGGTGGTTCATATCCCAGTTATTAATTCAGCATCTCTGAATCAAAGAAAGAACTAGGAACATATTCAGCCTCAACTTAAATTAGCTCCAGCTTAATATTTAGTTACAACATGGCCCATTTAAAAATGGCTTACAATATGGAGAGATATCCATTAGTAGGTGCCAGCTGAAATCTCTCATAAACTTTCCTTTTCAACAAGAAAACATGTTTTTGGCTCTAATGGCAGTTGGTATTACTTATTTCTACAATGAGGTTTCTTTTTTATTTTTTAAATCACATGATCCAATAACCACTACAACCACTTAAGCTGTTCAACTAGCTCACCTCATCTGAGCCTTTCTGGAAAGGCCAGCAGACTTTTAGACTCCACTACTCCCTGTAATATGAAAGGGTGGGCTCCAGTGTTTATTACCATTTTGCATAAAATGAGATTATACTCTTTAAGAAATAACATTAGAGAAGCAAAGGAGCTCTCCTCACCCACAGAGGAGCCAGAGTACATTTTAAAAACACTTAACTGCTGCCCTTTTTTCAGACATTTAGTTCACAGATTCAGAGACCTTTGGTTCTTGTGGTTTGCAGAAAACTAAATCTGTCTGATGGAAGAGCCACTGTTGTATTAGTCTGCTAGCAGAGAATTTTTTCAAGCACTTAGAATACTGCCCACTTAGGTTTCCATAACTCATTCCATTAAAGGCTAAAAAAAGGAGCTAACATCCAGGATTTATCTTTCTCTCAGAGACACTGCACAATTAGCATCTAATGCCTTCTGCTAAAGCACATAGGAGCACTTTTATTTTCTGACACACAGTTCTTTAAACACATTTCTTGTACAGTGGTATCTCGGGTTACAAGCACCTCGGGTTACAAACACTTCGGGTTACAAACTCCGCTAACCCGGAAGTAGTACCCTGGGTTAAGAACTTTGCCCCAGGATGAGAACAGAAATCGTGCGGCAGCAGCAGTGGGAGGCACCATAAGCAAAAGCGCACCTCAGGTTAAGAACAGTTTCAGGTTAAGAACAGACCTCTGGAACAAATTAAGTTCTAAACCTGAGGTACTACTGTACATTCTGTTGAAAGAATCAGGTGCTCATGCTTTCTCTCTCTCACGTCAAGTTGCAATGAAAAGAACACCTTCTTTTTTCTTTTTCTGAAATATATGCATATAAATACACACACCACATAGAATTTGGTGCCACATTCATTTCTCTGCTACATTAGGGCACAGGTTATACCAATACAGAATCATCAACCTAAATAGTGAGAATAATCTGTGCCATGGCACCCCAGCACATGTGAGGTCTAGCAGCTGTGGAGTCACCTTCCCAGCATGGGTGTTGCTGTTGCTTACTTGCACAGGATGGCACTCCCACCAGTACACTCACATGGCCCCATCCTTGCCACTGCACTGTTCCAACCCTGCCCAGGTAAACTGCACTGATGTTGGTCTTAGGAGGGCAGCGCTGCTTCACCACATGGGTTGCTACAGGTGAGGTCGCAGCCATGCCTCATCCTAACTGTATTTGCAACATAGCCTGATTCAGAAAAGATAAGCGAGTTGAACCTGATTGCACTGTTGTATTTGCATGGAGATGACTTTTCTAGACACACTGCTTTCACAAGCTGGCTTGCTAAAAAGTTGAAAGACACATACAAATACAAACACGACTTACAGTTTACAATTTCAACCACTGATCTGAAATGAGTGGCAGCTAAAAATGTTCCAACGCAGCACATTAACCAAACACAGACTGAAATAAAAACACATTCAGAGTTCTCTTCAACCAGCAGTAATGAAGCAACACATACTTCTTCCCAAAAGGGACGTATGTGTGGTTTTATTTAGTATGTGTGGCACCACACCTGCCAGTCTAACAACGCCTATTAGTGGGCCATGTTCACAGACATGGTTCTTGAAGTTCATATGGGTTCACATAATCCTTCCGAGTACAAAAGCGTGTAGCGCTCTGAAGACCAAGACAACCACCATGAATTGGGCAGCCAGTGTGACCCATAAATAACTGGTGTAATATGACCTGAATGTCTAGTTCCCACAAGTGTTCTGCCTGACATATTCTGCATCCATTGCAGCTCCCAGACTGTCTTCAAGAGCAGCAGTAATGGCTGTAACTAAAGCATGTGCCACGGAAGCTGGTAGTGTCTGCTTTCTCTTGACAGAGCCGCAGCTGTCAAACTAGCCTCAGGTTTACTATCTCATCTGCTGTTTATGAGAACTCCATAAAAGAGCATGCCTTTTTAAAAACTGCAGCTTGCACTCCTGTCACCACTTCACTTGTTTCACCATGACTGATCCACTCTAATTGCAGTTGCTTGAAATGATTATACTATATATACATAATTTTTCAGTCTGGTAGTTCCACTCTGTCTATAAGACGAATGCTGTTTTTATTGATTTCAGTGGTCTCTGAATTAGGCTCTTCAGCTCTCTCAGCAGTTTTAGGAAATTAGATGAAAATCATCATCATCATCATCATCATCATCATCATCCAGGCTGCTTTATGCTGCCTTGGATTAAATTATTTTTTTGTTTTCTTTTTTTCTTTTTTACTGATTTTTGTTGAATTTAATCATGATAATTTATTATTTATTATTTGCATTATTTCTAGTATTATTTTAGCATTTTTTCTTTGTTAAGACACCAAGCAATGTCTACACACAGGCAGCTGTTTACATTAGTTAAATCATCATCATTATCATAGATGAAAAGATCAACTATTTAGACATCTTTCAGGCTGGTTCTCCTAGGGTGTTATCCACAACATTGCTGCACTTATCTGTTTATAGGGCTGGGCAATTTTTTTTTTTGGCTTGAGGGTTGAATTCACCCATGGCCAAGCCTCCAGCACTCGTATGTCAGAAGCAGGTGTAGCCACCATACACTCTAGGGTGATCTCTGCGGTTCATCTGAGGCTGGGAGTTCTTGCCCTCTTTCAGCTTATCAGCTACCGGTAATCAACATGTCTGATGCCCAGGAAGAAGCCTGCTTTCATCCTCATCAGGGCACTGGCCTGAGTTGGGTGAGGTTTAAATCCATGCTACTTTTTTTTGCATGTGTTCACCTATTTGTCATCTCCATCTCATTTCTACATTAATCCACACAAAAATACTT